CAAGTTGAAAGCTGGTAGAGGGTCTTAAATTTTCAACAGTGTCACTTTGTAATAAATTGAAAACTCCATTTCCAATAATTCGCTTGACGTGTACTTTATTGCTTCGAATCGAATAACCATATATAGTATATATATAAGAAAATAATAACTAAATATAGAACGTTACACAATAAAACTGATGTTCTAAATAGAAATCCTGCATCATACGTAGCGATAGTTGATCAACAAGTATGACTACGCCACTATGCACTACGTATCGTTTAGAAATGAAGTGTATATGTATGTTTTTAGATCCGGATTTAATACTGTGTAAACCGGTTCATTGTGACATTAAACTATAATAGGAAATAGGAAATGCAATGTAACTGAGATTGCATCACATGGCAAATAATAGTTATCTACGAAACCAAAGTGAATCTTATTATATGCTACGTATTAAAGTTTTCGAATGAAGTCAATAAGCAGTATACGTATATTTTGCCTGAAATTTTTACTCATACCATATTCAAATTTTTACTCATATATAGAAATTATGATACAAAGAATAATTATTAGGTCTCCAAAAAAAGTTTTACTACATCGATGATATTCACAATAATCTTAAATGATCATTTCCAATTTTGTAAATCCATTTACTACGTAATGTTAACGTTAAATGCATATAAATATAAATGTTTGTGGCTCAATTTAATCTCCGTATAATCTTTTTTCAATGATAAACTCTAAGAAATGAAATTTCTATCGAATTATTTAGTATTCAACTTTGCAATTATCTCCTTTCTAACCATTCTACAAACGGGACTTACGCAAACTATCGTGAAATATTCAAACTTTACCTATTCGGAATCATCTATTCAGACTAATCTTACTGGTATTCAACCTCGCATCATAGATATTCAGAGTTATAAAGATCATAAGCGTATAGCAATTGTTCGCATCGCTCGAGAGAATTACATAGCTGGCATTAATAGATGTTTTGAGAGAAGGCTATTACTTCGCGTTATTCAAGAAAATGGAACTGTTATTCCAATAAATTTTGATCATATCGAGGAGATACAATCTATCAATTATTGCATTGTTAATGGTGCTAAAAATCCTATAAGCTTTTACCCATTATTTGATCAATATATTCTAGTAA